TCCCTCGCCACACCAAAGGAGTTTTGTACCTTCCAACAGGCCTGTCAAGCTGAAGGATTTCCACCTCCTGCAATAACGTGGCGCAAATTAGTAACGTCTCTACCTGCTGGAAAGACTATTTCAAATAATGGAAGCCTAACAATCAAAAATCTTTCCCCTGGCGACAGTGGATTGTATGAATGCGTAGCCAGAAACAGTTTTGGTACAACGAAAGCCTCCATGAACGTGGCAGTACAGAGACAAGGTTTAATTTTGTAATTTCAGCATGCTATTAGACCGAGAACACGTCAATCATCATCACAAACAGCGCGAAAGTTGAAATTGAGTGCGAAAAGCTGAAATTGAGCGCGGAAAGTTGAAATTAAGTGTATGAATTTGAAATTAACTGGCTGGATTGACAGGAAGTTCTCGAAAGCACAACGATAAAAGGGTATATGGGTAAAGACAAATAAACAATGTTATAATCATAATTGAGGGAGGGTGCTAAGAAAAAAAACACCCCACCGTAAAGCACAAACAACTGGCTAAAAGTCTGGAGTTCTTGGGCTTCCAAAAACCGTTCTAACGACATACTTTTGCTTTTATATTGTTGACAAGCAATCCCGTGATTTATCTCGTAAAAGTTGGGACAAATCAGCACTCGTTGATTTTTGAATTAATGCAAATTGCGTTCGCCGTACGGACTCGTTTTATTTGGTTAGCCTTTGAAAAATTCACTCCATTGATTTGTTCCAATGCAAATTGCACCCGAAGACATCTGATTACCCAAGTTTACAAATTGCACTCCATTTGGTCAAGTTCCATTGGGTAGATGGGTAGATTTTAGGCTAGAGGTAAGAAAAAAAAAAGAAACCGCTTACGATCTATACAATCATTCTCACCATGTTCTTCTGAGGGTATATATTTTTTTCGGATAGATTCTGAGTGCTGGCGCAGCAGATCCAAAAGTCCAAGGGGAGGCTGGGGCCACCAAAATAGCAGAATTGATGCAATCGATTTCCAAACAAGTAGTGAGGTCACACTGTTGGGATACCGTCTGTGGGGAGTCAATAGCGGTTCAACCACTTTTCAGGTCACTATCCGATTGTATCATGGAAGTTCTTTGATCGCAGAAAAGACTGGATCCTACTACACCACATCCTCAGTTAAGACGTTTGAAGTTCGTTTTTCTTCTGGGATTTCTCTTCGTGCAGGTGTATCATACACAGCAACATCTAAACTGACCACAGGCGGTAGTAACACTCGTGCTCACTTGGATGGAATGTCGAGTACTTCATGTTCTGGTATCACTGTTACGTTTACGAAATCTTCCAAAGATATTAACGGATCACGTGTATCCAGTGGCCAAATACCAGCGCTGATCTTCCGCTCCGGTCATTGCTAAAAGGAAATACCACAGTTTCCATTCACAATCTTAATCATGTGTACTTTTGTTCAGTTTGAGATATTTCATCCATTACTAGTAGATCTCAATAACTTATCTAGAAAGAACTAATAAACACATTTTGCCATCGATACTAACTGAAAGAAGTCAGCTAAATTTCATGAAGCTAATTTTTAACAATGATGAAGGCAGTTTCTGACGGTGAGTTGCATCAACGCTGCTACTCATGCAAGAGCGAGAAGCAGGGCTTTGTAAGATTAAGCAGGCATGCGTTAGTGATAAGCTAACAAAACCTTGAATAAGCTTATAAGACTCACGCGATTCATTTTATGAAAAATGAATTCACATGCTGGGTGAAGGAGTAAATATAAATAAATGTACTTTACAGGGCATAGCCGATGCACTGTCCACATAACCAGTATGTGACAAGGATAAGGAAGTCATCAACACATGAAAACTATGCTTTGTCACAATTCCTTGTCGTGCTTGATCCAGCTGACGTTATTTCCGGCTGTAGGTAGTTCAGCCGACGAATTTAGTTTGAATTCCACGATTAAGACTTTCTCGTAATCTTTTGTTTTTTTAAATATTATACGAGCTACACAACAACTCGTAGAGCTGTATATAAATTTGCTGATCATAATTACTTGTGATAGATAGCACTGAAGTGGTCGTTTTAATTGTAAATTTACGTTAAAGTGGCAACTGCTCTGTCGAAAATGAGGTCACGCTACAACCCTTTTTTTTTTGTCACTTTTGGACAAACTTTGCGATATTAGGCAGTATTTAATTCCCAAACAAAATACTGAAGTTGAACACCACTAAGCTTTATTCATTAAACCAGTACAGGTTATGTTTGAGGGCATAAATATGTTTTTGTCCGATTCAGGGACATTTTTTTCATAATCGCACATAATTTACCGAAAAATCATTTTGCAGCAATTTATTCGCGATATTATCTCAGTTTTTTGCGCGTATTCATATTTATGAATTGAGTACTATTCCCACTAAAATACCAAAAAAATACACCCACAAAATATTCATGTTACAGCCGGGTAAATAAATACAGTATTTTTCCTTGTGTGCTGCATGGGTACTCGCAGAATTTTTAAAAACTCGATTCTGGTATGCTAATTGACCGTAGTTCTGCCATGTTAGCCTTATATGCCTGGCCTGAAAGTATGATTGCACCTTATCGACAAAGACTTTGGCGTATTTTGTTTCAATTATATCGGGATCACACGCAAAACTGTTGTTGCATCGGCCCATCAAGGAATCAGTGTTTAAAATTCGTAACCACTTCGAACCGACTCAACTCCGTCCAAGATATAAGCTAAAATAGGCCGAATCTGGCTAGAGCGATTAGGATTAAATCTCTGCATCGAGTTAGTGATACTTCGAGGCTGAT